TGTATTTATCTAAAAAAGCACTCAAAGGTGTAAGAGTAAAAAGGTTAGTTATGAGTATTATAGTTAATCACTAAGTTCATTATTTATATTTAGAACAAAAAGAATATTAAAATATTTTTTTTTTCAAAATCATAAGACATTTTATAATTTTTAAATATATTTTATTATAGTCTATCAAGGTATATATTCTGCAAAATAAAAAATAAAAATAAAAGGATCTAAGATAGGTATTGTACTTTGGTTTTTAACAATTTTTAACAAAACATAAACAAAAAAATATGTATATCTTTTTTTAAAAATGATAAAAGGTTTTTTATTGATTATATATTTATTTTATTAATGATGACAATGAACCAGATAAGTAAAAATTGTTTCATTTATAAATTTTTAATTTTATATTATATTATATGTTATATTATAGTTATGTTTTATAATTTTTTTTAGCTTGTTAAAGGTTAGACCTAAGTAAGTATCTTTATTGATAAATTTTAAATTTGATTTTTGAAATGGTTTTATATTAAATAAAAATAATAATTTGATAAGTTTTCATAATAGAAAAGAAAGTTTGGGTTTTATTGTTATATTGTTGAATTATTTTGTTTGTAAATTTATTAATTAATTATTGAAATTTGATTTTAAAGAAGTTGTAAAGATTTCTATTTATTTAACAAAAATGGCACCAACAATGGCATTAACAGGAAACTCGGTTATCACCATTACAATGAAAAAACTGTCAGATTGATTATATTGCACAAAATCTCTATTTGTATCATACTTCAATATAAGTTTTTTTTTCTTGTAGGTATTTATTTATTGCTCAAAACTTTATCCAGAGTTGTCTGTTGCTTAGCCTTAGTTAAAATATTGAGTAACAACTTTAAAGTAACCATTGCTCATTAGGAGTTTTTTTTATAATTTATTACTTTGTTAGATATTAAAATCTTTCCTTACTAAAAAACTTTATTTTTTTGCTATTATTTTAGATTTAGAGTTGACTCAAAATGGAAAAGAAAGGAAAGACTGTATTTTTTTGTATGTGGATTGATTTTGATTTACTTATATTTATATTTGTTATTTAACCAATATATATTACTTAAAGATAAGTTTTTAAGTATATTTATTTTGTAAATGTATGTAAGAATATGTAATATATTTATATTATTATGTGCTTGTACTTTATCAAAATTGTTAATAATTTTTTAGAAAGTGTTTATTACTTTACTAATTTTTTATTTATTTGTGTAATTGCTGATGAAGTGAATCACGGAAATTTTAATATTTTTTATGTAAATCAAAAAAAACTTGTTTTCAGAAAATATTTTCAAAAACATACCATTGGTTTTTTATATATAAGATTTGCTAGAAATAATTTAAATTTTACTTTTAGTTACTATAGAATACTGATTTATAACTTTTTATAAACTCAAAACTTTCAAAAATTTAAAGTAAAATGCGCAAATTACAATATTTGAACAACGAGATTCCAGTCATATGTTTAAAATCAGGCCCGAAGCAAGCTTTTTGTTTTTGGAGTCTGTTAACAATAAACCCGTAAAATAGTAACTTTCTTTGCATGGAATTAGTGTGAGTGTATAGAGTTTATAACAATTATATATACATTTTTTTACCATTTTAATCTAAATTTAAGTTCATTATCAAGTCTCTAATGTCCTACAATAATTTCTTAGTAATTAAAAATATGACAATATAAAAAACTTTAGCAACCTCCCTAATTTTTTTAAGGGATTTAAATATTACCTCTAATTATGTTTTATATTCGTCTGACAATCAAAATCTATTCCTCATTCAAAAGTTTGGAGCGAAAGTTAATTTAACTCTTTTTTTTTTGTGAATAATTTTTCAAACAATATTATAATTTTGTTCAATTTATACTTATTTTTATTATTATTAATGTGAAAATTATCAAATTCATTTTTTTTTTTCAAATATCATTTTATCATTTTTTTTTTTTTTTTTTTTTTTTTAATTACATAAAAACATTCTTTAAAGCAGTGATTGATACCTTATTATTATAATTTTTTATTTTTCTAAATTTGCCGTGACATATTATTACTTTAATTTTATTTTTTTTATTTTTTTTTATTTTTTATTTTTTTTGCGGGGGGGGGGGGGGGAACACATAAATAGTCTCATTGCCAACCCCCTAAACATCCGTACATAATATAGTCATTAGCAACTTGTAATTAAAAATTTATGATTATGTGTTTCTCTAAAGTTTGAGTTTAATAAGTTTATTTTCGTTGAGAACTATAGTTTTCTTGGGAATAAATCTAAAAATGAGTTAAATATGTAGTTAACATACCAGATTCTCATGTTTTATTATGTTATTTTAAAAAAAGAGAAATCTTTTTCTAAAAAAACATACTAAAGCAAAAAAATATTGTGTAAATAAACTTTTTATTAATTTTGTTTTTTTAACATATAAATAAAATGGTTTAAAAAAATGAAATAAAATTAAAATTATAAATGAAGCAAAATACAATATTGAATTATAAATTGATTTAAATATTGCGTGGTATTATACCTAGTCAAAGGTAATGTAAAAAGATTTCATAATTTGAAATCCGGCGATTCATTTTATTACCAAACCGACTACGATTACTTAATCAACAGCATCTTTAACTAATAGCATTACCAATAATTACGTAAAAATGAGGTCTTTCAATGTGTTGTTAAAAACTATATCTAACTCATTTAAAGACTTTATGATAATCCATAATATAATGATGTCTACTTGCGTAAATTTTGATATGTAATAGGCCAGGTGAGTAAAAAATAACAATTGCTTTTACCCAGTAATTGGTCAGTTTAACGTGAATAAAAATTTCAGGAACTTTAATTAAGGGTTTACTCGCGTAAAACTGACCAACTAATGAGTAAAAGCAATTGCATTCTTTATTCACCCGGATTATAAATAAAATTATGAAAAACCAATGATATTGGTTAATAAATATACTTTTCGTAAACAAAACATACTAAGGTGCAAAACTTAAGTATGTTCTTGTTTATATTACATTAGAATGTTTAGAAAATTGTTGAAACAACCACCTTATTTGGTTTGTGTGTAAACTTTATATAATCATAACCTTTGAACTTTAATACCTGCCAACCTAAATTTAGTGTAAGAAAACAAAAATACAAAAAATTATTATTTTGTTGTCCTCAAATTTAGGGCAGGGATGGTATATACTTAAGGGTATTTTTGCATCCATGCCTCAATCAACACAATTTTTATTTCTCCATCTACTTATAAATTGTTTTTAAGCTACTGCTTAGGTTATAGGTATATTACACAGTGGCGTAGCAAAGTGTTTTTGGTCAGTAGACATACGTGGTCAAGGTGCTCAATTTCTGTTTCTCTGAAATAATAACTTTTCTAAAAAAAAACGAAAAAAACTTTTTAAGTATATCTATGGACTTCTAAACCTTGCGGCGCTAGGTTTAGTTGCTTGTGGAACCGTAAGTTTTCCTAATACTGGCCTTGCTGCAGCAAGGCCACTGATACCACACACAAATAACTGATACCACACACAAATGCTTATATAAAAGTACCATAGTTGCTTAAACTAAGACATATTAGAGTCAAAGAATATTCTTGAGAGGGTGAACTTTTATTCGTATCAACGTGGCAAAAAAAAAATTACAAAATAAAGCGTTCTCTTAAAAAGTTTGGGGCTCCTTAATCTTTAAAGCATGGTGTTATAGACCCATAATTCAGAACAGGTTTAAACTTTCTCTTCTTAGTTTTTGAATAATAAATATATTTGCGCAAAAAACTTGTAAAAAAGATCTGACAAATTTGCTAATTATTTTCCTTTCAAATAAACTACCCTTCTGCTAACTGCCTCGTTTCAGCTTTGTCTAAATTACAGATATTTTGAATGGTTGGCCATAGAGCAAATATTTTTGAGACGGTTTGATTCAGAAAATGGTTATTACAGCTAAAACTAACATGGAATGGAACTAGAGATCCTATTATTGATATTTCCAAACTTTACACGAAAGAAATACCTAAAACCGCGTAAATCAAATGATGCGCTAAACTAAATGTCACTCACTTAATGTTTTACTTTATTGCATTACTTTCGTACAAGATCGTGTCAAAGTTATTGTAAAATATAAGTAAATTTACTTTTTTACTATATATAAATTACTTTTAATTAACTTTACAAATTATATAAAATGTAATCTTATAAAATTATAATTTAATTTTATATAATTTATTTTTAATAAAGATTTGTTATTACTTTCAAAACAAAAATTTTCATACTTAAAAAATTTTATTTGTAAACATATTTTACATTTGGTAGCATATTACTTTTACGTAATTTACTTTTATATGCAAGTTATTTTTTAATTTAAATTATTATATTTAGTTGTTTTTATAGGTAAATGTAAATTACAGTTTGTATTTTAAATGTAATTTTCAAAACTAAACAACTTTTTCATGTGACTTTCTTTTACTTGTAATCGTAAATTACTTTTTAATGTAATTTTCTTTTACATAATTTGTGAAAGTAAAAAAAACATACATTGTAAAGTAAAAGTAGTTTAAAAAAAAAAATAGTTTAAAAATTGATTATCTATACGAAAATGTAAGTTTACTTAAAACGTTTCAAATTACTTATTTAATTTGAAACGTTTTAATTATGTTTTCAAAAAAAAAGTAAGTAAAAGAGCCATCCCAATTTCAGAAGCCTTGTCTATTTGTTTATGTAAACAGCAATAAATGTAAACATGCAAAATAAAAAATAATATTATATATGTACATATATATATATATATATATATATATATATATATATATATATATATATATATATATATATATATATATATATATATATATATATATATATATATATATATATATATATATATATATATATATATATATATATATATATATTATATATATATATATATATATATATATATATATATATATATGTATATATATATATATATATAAACAATACCTGGTTCAAAGCAATATAAAAGTGTTGAAAAAAACGCAAAACCTATACCACATATAATTAGTAAGTTGTATAAAATATCTAATAAAACCATTTTAAGTATTTAAACATCTAAACGCTTTTTATTTCTTTATTTATAGTTTCGCCAATTTAGAAGTTGTGTCGCTTAAGTTTAAAATCAAAAGCATACTCTTGAAGAACTCATTTTAATATCAGTTGAAACCAAAACAAAAGTGTTTACACTTGGATACGTCGTTTGTTTTTTTGAACTGTGCTCCACTGCGTGTCAAGAATTTAACTTGTATGTAATTTTGCAGGGAATTCAGAAACCCAAACATTACGTCTTAAAAGAAATTTTTCTAAAAACAAATGCTTCTTAATATAAAAAAAAAAAAAAGCATGGCTGGGACTAGTGATTTTGAATCCATAAAATTCAACTTTTCTGAAATAAATAATAATGAAAATTTAAAACCCGATATAAATTTTTTACACGACACGCTTATGGATTGCTCAAAGGGGCTGTCCATTATTTACGTCAACAAATTTTTTCTCCCCTCCCCCTTGTCAACAGTTTGTCAAATTTCCAGAGACCCTCCTATAAAAATACATCAATTTTTGATACTTCCTCCCCCCCCCCCCCTCCTATACAAGAAGCTACGCTACAAATTTTCTGTTATTTAAGCGATTAAACTCAAAAAAAAAGACTTTCAGACTCCTCCTTCCCCCTATTTTGTTGACGTAATTAATGGACAACCCCATATCACTTTCCAAGCGAATTAGAAGGGTTTCTTTTTTAAAATGTTTGCGACAAAAATTTAAATAAAATTTGAAATCTCCACATAAACATTCGAAGCCTTAATAATAACTTTGAAAAACTTCTCAATTTGTTAGAGGAAACAAAAAATTGTTTTAATATAATTTGTTTGACTGAAACGTGGATTTTGAATATTTTAAACAATATTTTAAACTTTTATATTCCTCATTTTAAATTGATTTCACACAAGTAAATAAACGCGGCGGAGGAGTTATTATATATGTAAACGAAAGCATTGTTTATTATGTTAGGAATAATTTAAGTGTATCTGATGGCGATAAAGAAATTTTAACTATTGAAATTATAAACAATCAATCAAAAAACATATTATTAAGCTCTTGTTATCGACCACTTGGCGGCGTGAGTGAGAACTTTTTTTTAACAAAGTATTTTTAAAAAAAGTATTAAAGATTTTCATTATTGGGGACCTAAATATGAATTGTTTTCTATACAGTGAACATAATAAAATTAAAAACTTTTATGATTCTTTTTTTGAAACTGGAGCAATCGTCCAACAAGAGTAACAAATACACTCTTCGACTTTAATTGATAATATCATTACAACAGATATGTCCGATAATGATATCTAAACGAGTATTCTAAAATCAAATATATCTGATCATTTTTCACTATTTTTATAGCTTAAATCAAACTCTGAAAATATAACCAAATCAAGAAAAACTAAAATACACACTTTTAACGAAATCAACCTACACTGGAAGCATATTAACTTTAATGATTAACTTTAATGATAATGCCTATTAACTTTAATGATAATGCAGACAAAATTTACAATAAATTTTTTGATACATTTTATTCCGTGTATGACGCTAATTTTCCTATCATTGTAAAAACAATAAATCCAAAAAATATAAGCAAACCATGGCTGACCAGGGGATTTAAAAAATCATTAAAAATAAAACAGAAGCTTTATATAAAATATCTTAAAACAAAATCATCTGCAAATGAAAAATTATATAAAAAATACAAATACGTATTTGAAAAAGTTTGTAAAAACTTGAAAAAATTTACTACTCAAGACTCATAGGTAAATTTAAAAATAACTCAAAACGCACTTGGCAAATAATGAATGAAATTAGTGGTAGACAAAAATGATGCTCAAGTTCCCTCCCCCCAAACGATTATTTAGTTGATAACAAACATATATGCGAATCAAGAGCTATAGCTCATGAATTTAATAAATTCTTTGTTAACATCGGTCCCAAACTAGCAAAAAAACTCCTTTTACAAATGTTACATTTTAAGATTTTTTAGTACAAACGGATAATTGCACTAGTTCCAACGAATTATCTTCTGAACTATCTTCTCAAGAGTTTGAAAAAGCTTTCAAAACTCTTAAAAAAAATAAATCAACCGGAGCAGCCCAGACAGCAAGCTTACATTGGACCAACGTTGGGCCAATGCATGGTGATGTATTGGCCCAACGTTAAAAGTCGATGTTAGCCCAATGCAGGTTTGATCATTGGTTAGGTATTGGCCTAACGTTGTGTACAATATTGGCCCAATGTTGTATACAACGTTTATCCAATATTGGCCCAACGTTGTTTATAACGTTAGGCCAATATTGGACAACATTGGACCAATACTGTATACAACAATATATTGGCCTAACGTTTATATTAGGCCAATGTTGTATACAAGAAGATATCGGCCTAACGTTTTATGCAACATTAGATCGTTGTTACAAATAAGATGATTTGCATCGCTACATTGAAAATTTATAGAGAAAAAAAAAGAATGTACGATACAAGTATAAACATTTATTTATTTAACATAATTAATTATATATACATATTGCAAACACCAAACTTTAAACATTGAGTTTTAAATAAAAAAATTCACTATAAAATTTATAGAGTAGTTTAGATATTGGCTAAGCTACTTTTTATTGAATCGTGTTTAGCTTATGATATTTTATGCTAACGATTATTATTTTTTCTTCCGCTATCTCTAGCACATGTCTGCATAAGCCATGCTTACTTGACTTCACAGTTTCTGCAAAAAAAATTGTTGTTTGTTTAATTATGCACCAAAGAAACATAACAAATTGAAAGTAATTCTGTAATGCAAAAATGAAACTGAAAAAATAAACTTTTCTAAACTACTTACCTATAGCAACATATGCAATCAACATTTTTCCTATTCCAATTTTTTGTCCTCTCCCGGCATAGTTTAATTTTACAGCTAGGCCATTTTAAAAAACTATTCTTAGTAAATAACATATACAATCTCCTTCGTCTTTAACTCCAATTTGTGACAAATAATTGACCTGCAAAAATACACAACTTGGCAATAATTAAAGTAACTTTTGTTTAGACTTAAATTAATATAAAATGTCATTTACAAAAAATCTTCAAAGATTTTTTTATTTAAAGTATATAAATATTACTGAGATATCATACAAAATGCATAAACAGATCATAAAAAAATATTTACCATTTACTTAAATACTTTCTTGTCTTTTTTTTCGAGAGTACTTGAATTCTTTACTGCTTTTAATGGCAATGACACTCTTTCAGGCGATACAAAAAATAGCATACCTTTGTTACTCAAATTTTTATAACTGAATTTGATGTGTTTTGTAGTTCACCAAGTTGCACTTTAATGCTTGCCCATTGTGCCAATAATACCAGCATATCTTTCAAGGATACAACTTTATCTTAAAACAATAAAGATAATTATATTATTATGAAACTATACAACTAATTACTAGTAAAACTATACAACTAATCACTAATAAAACAGATAAAATTAAAGACAGAGGGGAAAATTTTTAATGATAAAAATATATACTTGCTAATGGATTTATAATATTTTTATGAATTACAAAATTTGCAGGTATGTATTCAATTTTTGGCACTGACACAAAACAATTCTCGTTATTGTTTAAGATACAGATTGCACTGTAAAACAAAAAAATTCAAAACGCGCGTTCACTTTAAAATCAACCAATAAAAACTCTGGTAACATCTTAGGAGAAATCTATATTAAAAGGGGAGGGGGGGAGGAGGCTATAAACTTAAATTTTGTTTTATTATTTAATCAATTAAATCATAATAAAAGTAAAGACAAAAAAATATATTTCTAAATACACTTCTTTATAACTAAAATTTATTAAATTGTTTTAAGTAAATGTCAGTACTACTACTCTCAGTGGCGAAACTGCGGAGGGGGGGGGGCTTTGGTTAACAGACAAAAAGTGTTCTATTTTTAAACTAATTTTAGGTTGCATGGGCGATATGGGGCTCATTTTAAAAATCGTGCGGAGGATGGGGGGGATTTTGCTACTGACTACTCTAATTTGCTTAATACAAAGGTAGGTGGGAGTGGGAATCTTAGTCAGGATGTATAAAATGGGAGGAGGAAATAATGAAAAAAAGCGGGAGGATTTACAATATATGTTTTATTATTTATCGGTTACTAATATATATATTTTTTAATTTTAAGGCCAATTTTCAATGAATTTTTGTTTTGAGATATAGTTTTTTGTTTATAACAAGTGACTTATTATAAACAAATAACACGATTTTCAAAATGAGCCCCATATGCCCATGCAACCTAAAATTAGTTTAAAAATAGAACACTTTTTGTCTGTTAACCAAAGCCCCCCCCCCCCTCCATCCGCAGTTTCGCCACTGAGGTAGTAGTACTGACATTTACTAAAAAACAATTTAATAAATTTAGTTATAAAGAAGTATATTTAGAAATATATTTTTTTGTCTTTACTTTTATTATGATTTAATTGATTAAATAATAAAAAAAAATTTAAGTTTATAGCCTCCTTCCCCCCTCCCCTTTTAATATAGATTTCTCCTAAGAAGTTACCGGTGTTTTTATTGGTTGATTTTAAAGTGAACGCGCGTTTTTTCCGGACCGTTAGTAAGATGTTTAAAAATGCTAAACTGTTTATAAAAATATGTATTCGTAAAAGTTGCTGAGGTTTTTAACATTGTTTAAATATCCATTGTATTTTTTTTAGATGCATTACTACTTTAATTAAAGTTTGGAATTACTTAACTAAATCATTTTTATTTTTAATATCTTGATTAGGTGTTGTTTGATCAAACAATAAACTATAAATGTAACTTAAAAGAGTGTTATAAAAGTAACAACACTGTAGTGTTATTACTTTTGTAGTCATAAAGTTATTGTTTTGTTTTTCATAACATTTTCACTAACAAATTAAAGTTTATTCGCCTATTCCGTAAATTTCGTGGTTTTCCATAAACTGAAACTTTGAAGACCAGATAATTTAACAGATATCGCAAATCGCGATGCGTTAATTCAACCCTTGCATTTAATAAAATTTTGTTCATTTAACTTCTCAAAACAAACATTGAACTTCTGTAAAGAGTTTGGAATCACAGGTAAATCCCAAAGTTTAATAATATTTTTTGTTTTATTATAAGAAATTGAGGATAAATCATCTACACCAAGATATACACAATTTTTTGTCTCTTTATTCTTTATTTTGGCTATTCATTTTCGCTGTCTTCCTTTTTTGTCTCCAGAACAAAAGTTTAGCCTTCTGCTAAATTCAATCTTGTATTGCTTTAAAAATCTATAAATCAAATCATTAATAATTAAGTTATAACTAAAGTTAATATTGTTAAAGCTTAAAATTCTTAACTGTTGTACAAAAACTAAATATGATAAATATCCAGAGATATTAAATTAAAAAATAATAAAACCAAGAATAATGTCCCTCAGACCTCAGAAAGATGGAATATTAGAAAGCTCTACATAAGTAGAATATGAATTCTAGTACTCGTTGTAGTTAAGGCACTTTTAAAATATTATAAAATCTGAATGATATTTTGTTGACTACGACATGTTTCCATGAAATGGTCTGGTCTGTGAAATATGAAAAGACGAACAATGAATTTTGCGCTAGCATGAAATAAAAATGTTTGTAGCGAAAAAACCCAGACCGTGGAATATTAAAAAAAAAAAAAAAATCATCTTAAAATCACAACTGCCTGTCCAAATTAAAATAAGATTTTATATTAGTACGTTTTTTAGGTGAAATAAACATTATAGTTTAACAATATGATCTGTTCTGATCGTTTAATGGCAATTTTTTTTATTATAAGCTCTTTCTTGGTCGGATTTCCAGTATTTTTTGTGAAAATTGATAGAAATAATGTGTTTTGACAACTAAATATAGTTAATTTACGTCAGAACCGATTAGAACTACTATTAGTGGTAAATTAAGTAACTTTTTTAAAAGATTTAAACTAAATTCATGTTAATGTTGATCAGCGGAATTGATCTAAAGACTCCAAAATAGTGTTGTTTAGATACATTATTACAGTAGGGTGTAGTTAAAAAACTTTTTTTTCAAAATTGAAAATTTAAATATTATTTTCAGATGTCCATAGACATTTTAAGATATACTGTTAAAAAAATATTTTCATAACTTCAAAATAAATTACCAAAATGGGGTAAATGGAAGAGTTATTAGCAATAAATAATTTTTAAACACAACATATTTTTGTCAAAATTTAAAAACTGCAATTAAATTTTTATCCATTTCAAAATAATTTAAAAAAAAAAGAAAAAAAAAAGTTAATTACAGACTTTTTCAATGAGGAGGGGCGGTAGCGGTGGAGGAGGAGGGGGGGTGGATATTGAGTTTTAAAACCAAGTCTAGATAACAATGGTTTTTTTGTTAACTATCTTTATTAGCCACATTTAGGGTGGGAAAAATATATCAAAATTTTTGGCATAACACATTCCAAAATTAAAAAACTATACAAAGAGTAGACCAGCAAAATGAGCCCCTTATTGATTATGGACCCCATTTAGGATAATCAAAGCAGATGGTTGTTGTCTGGAATAATCAAAGCAGATGGTTGTTGTCTGGGATAATCAAAGCAGATGGTTGCTGTCTGGGCTGCTCCGGTTGATTTATTTTTTTTAAGAGTTTTGAAAGCTTTTTCAAACTCTTGAGAAGATAGTTCAGAAGATAATTCGTTGGAACTAGGGCAAGAAAATATAAATTCGTGAAGATCCAATAAGTTAAGAAATATATACACTCATATTAAAAAATATAAAAATTATATAATCATCAGTTTTAGGTTCCTTTTGGTATTGTTTTTAGGTAAAGGTTTTCGTGGATGACAAACTGCTCCAATAAAACCATCTCTTGAATCGTGTCCGTAGACAGCAGCACAAGCTCTTGTTGTTTGTTTAACAGCCCGCTCAATACTTTGTGTGTGGCATGGTATGGAATCAACAACCATGGGATTCACCTTAAAATTAACTAATGTCTCAGTAGAAAAGCTACATGTTTGAATCGGCTCAAATACATTATGAGTCCAAGAACATAACTCAGTAAGATTTTTAGCACCTATGTTTAAAAAAGAAGAATGAGTCCTTTCTCGGACAGATGTTTCTCCTTTGTCAAAACCTCTTCTGATCTGTAGAATACGATCTACTGCAAAAACCCGTTCTTCCACTATAGAACTACAAAGCAAAGTGGTTAGAACAGCATTACTGTGAGAAAACCAGGCTCCGTATATGACATATTTTTTAACAATATCCCTAGTAACCTGGCTTTGCATTTTTACTAATCTCAAGGTTTCTAAAACATGTCTTGGACCCTCAATAAAAGACCACCTCACTTTTATATCAAACCGTATTGGATAGTAAACACCAACAATATATTCAACTAAACAACTTAAATTATTAAAGTTTTGCCCCGACAGTCCATGAACTGATACCCAAATTCGCATCAGTCTATTAGCAGTGGTCAACCATCTGCTTTGATTAACAGGGCCACACTCCATCTTTATAAGATCGATAGGTATGTTACCTGAGCGTATAGCTAAAACCATTTTATAACCATAGAGCTGATCAGTTGAAAGATCATCTATCACATCTTTACTTGATTCAACTGGTCTTTTATTTACTGGTATTTTATGGTCAACTGGTCTTTTATTTACTGGTATATTTATTTACTGGTATTTTATGGTTATTGTTGGAAATGCCTGTGCTACTGGAAGTAGTGTAGCACGATTTAATAGTTTACCCACAACTCCGCTGAACCCATTATTGGAAGTTGTTTTACCATCTAGCTCCTCAATAAGATGCCTAAACGGAAGCTTATTAGTATGCAGCATACATATAATCCATGTTAATTTTTTATTCAGAAGATCCTCTATTCTTTTTATAGCCCCACCTAATCTTTCAGTGTTAGTAGCTGTAGAGTCTGCTCCAATATACTGTAAGTTTAAATCAAATTTTCTACACCAATCGGCATTAGGTTTACTATCATTAATGCAGGTTTTTTGCCCACGCCAGGCTTAAGAGGAGAGAAATGGAATACATATTTTCCACCTGGTTCACTAGTGACAGTGTAAAAGTCCATTTTTATTGTTTTAGAATAATATTTTAATGTCGTTTTATCTTGATTATTAATAAGAGTTAAATTGTTTCTACCGTCAAAAAATAATGCTTTTATTTCTTCTGAATGATACAACTGTAAATCTTTTATCTGGAATTTTTTAATTATTTTTTTCTTTTCCCTATGAATTTTATGGTGGTCAATAATTAAAAAATTATTTGTTTTATTAACAATGCCAAGATCTACAAGAACTGCAGAAGAAATAGCAGCAGCTTCTCTGTTACTTGTTCCGTATCTTAAAACTGTTTGAGCAAGAAGAGGAAAGTGATTTGTATTGATGACAGATTCCTTTATTCCATCATCAAATTCAGTGTCAGTAAACTGGTTAGAAGATACGTTCTCTTTCTCAATGACATCTACCTCTATTTCTTCATTAAAAAACTTGTTATTATGTAACTCTACTTTCTTCTCATCTAATTTTTTAAAGATTAAAGCTTTTTCTTTTCTTTTGCATTGCTTAGATAGTCGAGTGT